GGGGGGAGGGGGGCTGGTCCTGGCTAGTCTGAGCACATGGCAAATCCCTCCAGTATATGTACCCTATCCCAGCATGCACCACTGGACACACGATGAACCAGATAACTGCCACTCATTCCAACCAGGCCGACTACAGCCCAGCCAATCACCAAATGTCTAGTAGCCACCTCGCAGAACGTGATGGGGCTACACTCATTACTAAAATTAGATTTGGGTGGACCTACTGTACATGCCAAGACTGGACATTGCTGCACATATTTAAAGCCCAACACTAAAACAAAATAATTTTAGGTTTGTAGTAAGATTTGTCTCACTTCCTATCCTGGTGAGGAAACAAGGAGACCTCCTCAATGAGGACACAGAACATTGGTTCGGTTTGACTGCTGCCTAACACTCACTCTAGGTTGTCAAAACGTTACCACCTTCTGCCTTGGTGACCACCAAAACCAGGAACATGTCAGTCCTAACAGAAACAACTGACATATGGTCACCTTCACTTTCTCTGCTCCCCCCCCCCAAAAAGTGAAGTTTAAGAGACTTACCTGAATATCCCTTTCAAGCTGCAGCACATGGAACCTGTGCCAGGTGAGGAAGGCAGGCCCTTCATGAGAGAAGTCTATACCTCCAGCACTGCCCTGGCCCGCACCCAGGAAGGTTTTGCTGACGCTGTAGTAGTGAGTCCAGACGAAGTAGTCATAAATGGAAATGTTCTCGAAATTGGTAGTGTTGCTTTCTGGATCAACAAGCTGATTGTAGTGTCTGGTGGCAATGACATAGTCCGGGTGCACGGTGTTCTTTGCAAGGTCCAGCGCATGAATAAAACGCTGGCGCTCTGAACCATTCAGGTCCATAATATTTCTTCTTGCTAGAAAAGAAAGAAAAGCTTCAGTTGTACCATGCTGTATATTGGAGGCACACAAACCATTTCCTGGAAGTCTCAGATGTGAAGGTCAAATGTTCATGGAAAAATCTTAGGGGGTCACAACGCTTAGGGTCAACCTGTGCAGATCACAAGAGGAGTTCTAGCTTTTACCTTAGTACCAAGTAGTGCTTAAGACTTCTGAAGGTCAGCTTGGTAGTCTGAGGAAACCTCCAGCAGCAGCCATTTAAAGTGATCATGATGGGGCCAAACACCACAAGAGGTTATATACTTACCTTCTGGTGCCCAAGTCTTCAAAATTTGCTGCAATGTCAATTTCTATCCCCCTTACGATCCAGGCCTTTTCAATACATCGCTCCCCCGGTTCCTCTCACCAGCTCACGCATCCTGTAGCAACATGCAAATCGGTGGGAGGAAACTACAGGGTGCGGAAGTCCATATTGAACACACCTGAAGATGTTGGTGTCAAACATTTGACCACAAGAAGAGGGACCTATGATGGTCTCTACCTGCTCCATTGTATGTTCTCCAACACTGATGGCTGTCTCCACTAGAGTGCAATGCAGATGTACCAAGCACACACCAGTCCAGTCAAATTTCAGTGGATAAGACCAATAGAAGATTGATTGGTTGCCAGGGACAGCATGGCCTTCAATTAGTGCCATTGGTCCGAGTATCACTTATCCTAGTGCCCATGCCTGTATTGTGTGAGCCATGTTAGTTGGGAAAGGCAAGCCACCCACTGGATGTAATGCCATGAAGTTAAGCTGTGCTTTGAACTAGCACCACTCTGAGCAGCCAATGGACACCTCAAGCTCTGACAGGAGCCACATGATTTTTCATTGGATACTGGAGGTGGCTACTGCCAGCTATCTGAAGAGGCCATCTTCCTGAATGTCAATTCTCTGGCTTTATTAAGAGTCACTCCCTAAAGCAGGTATTCAGGATGGACCACTTGGAGCAGCCCAATAGCCTCCTAAGTCCTTGGGGCTAACCAGTCAATGAGATCAAGGCTTTTGTCCTGCGCGGACATAACCATATGATCTCTTCACAGGCCTTTGGGTCCAGGGGGTTAAAAGAATAAAAGTGATCCACCTTCCCTGGGAGGAGACCATGAAGAGGTTTGCTGCTGGAGCCAAGAAGTGTATGACCAGAGGAAACAAGGTGCAACTGTTGCCCTCATATGGCGATGTGGTGCGTGAGTGGCCAGTATATGCAGGAACCAGTCATGTTATGCCGTCTTGGAACATAGGTTGAGATGCCACTTAAAAAACTCACTTGCCAAGGAGCCAGAGGTCTGCAGGTCCAGCCAGCATAGTATGAAATAATGTACAAAGACTATCTAAGAGATTCAGGTTAAGGCCTAGATCAAAGTAAAATATCAACCATGTCTAGAGATATCCAAATGTCACCCACCTCCCTATATTGTCATGCAGGGGTTTCCCTACACTATGCACCGCCTTGAGGCAGGGGGTTCCTGGCAGCGCATGCTTGTTCCCAGGGGAAGTGGCGAGTGTTAGGGGGCTGCTGGCAGTGGGTGCTCATTGACAGAGTGTCTCGGTTGATGTGCGTTTCAGGGTGGGTGGTTTACTGCCTCTGTCCATTCTGCCCAGTTACTGACATCACTGGTTGCCAGGAGGTGGACAGGATGCCAGCCAGAGCATCCCACTCAACTCTTGGGAACCAGTGACAGTGAGCTGGGTTCATGCCAGCCAGAGCATCACAGGTTGCCAAGATCTCTCAGCAGCCTGGGACGCACTAACTGGCAAAGGTGGCAGGTGCACCTACTGTACATTAAGGTACATCCCTGTTGCAATAAACCAGTTTCCTTTTAACCTCGTTACATGACAGGTGCCAACTTGGATTCCATTCTGAGCAGAGCATCCGAGAGTGAATGGGTCAGAGATCTTGCCATGCAATTATGCTCAGGACATTTATAATGTAGCCATTGGTCAGCTGAAGATCAGTAAGAACAGCACCACACAAACCGTCATCTCCATTTCTACTCACCAACTACAATGGGCTGATCACAGTCATCTCCAGCCCACCCAGGTTTGCAGCTGCCGCAGTTGTATCCGTAGAAGCGGCCGTTGCACAGACAAGCCTTGTTGAAGAAGCGGATGGGCCAGTGTTCTCGGTCATCCAGCCCTTCCACCTTAAACTGGGATCCATGAGGCCTGGCGTCCACCATGACGGGCATGCAGCCGCCGCGGCCCACGGTGAAGCCACAGAGGTCGCTGGGATTTGGAGACTGTTGAGGGTAGAGGCTGGGACAACACTCTCCAGTAGCCAAGGTCTCAGGGGTGGTGCACTGGCGAGGAAACTGAGCGGAGATCAGGTCACAAAGAAGGGTAACCACCACAGCACAGGTATTCCAAGATTTACAGGGCGACATTATCCTGGGGACAGTTGTGGCTCTAGAACAGAAAACATGTTTTATTGGAACAATAAATTGAAACAATGTACACAGCACAGGTATTCCAAGATTTACAGGGCGACATGATCCTGGGGACAGTTGTGGCTCTAGAACAGAAAACATGTTTTATTGGAACCTTGAAAATTAAAAAACATCCCAACAAAGCACAGAAATTAAAAGCCGCCTACAATAAGGATCAGATTATGTCTATGCAGCGGAATCGTGTCCCTCCCCCACCCTGTGACTGACATTGTGCTAGGCTGTAATACGCATGACCATTGGTTACATTGTTCTGGACTCGCAAGTTCTCCTAAGCTCAGCGTGTTGATCGCATCTGCAGGTTATTGAGGAGGATCCAGTAAGAAGAAGTGTAGGAAGCAATCAATTTGTATGCAACCGAACCAATCCCCAAGGGTTTTGCTCACAGGTACAGTTCAGGGAGATATTCGGTGCACCTTCTCCAGAACGTTCTCTTCACCTCTGGCCAGGATGTCTGCTTAGTCCCTACTTTAGGGATGGCCAAACTCCAGCGGTGGTGAAACTACAAAGCCACCAGGGAAGCAAAGCCCCCCCTACATACCACCCCCTTCAAGGCAAAGCAGATGTTACCACATAAAAAAAAAACACACCCACCAAAATGCTCCAGGGCACAGCGGGTGTACAGACCCGGGAACTCAGCACAGGGATGGGGGGGCCCCTCATAATGGGCACAGCGGGGGTACAGACCCGGGAACTCAGCACAGGGATGGTGGGAGCTCCTCATAATGGGCACAGCGGGTGTAGAGACACGGGAACTCAGCACAGAGATGGTGCGAGCTCCTCATAATGGACACAGCAGGGGCGCAGAGGTTTGGGATTATAGTCTAGGATCTTGCCAGAAATAATTTAATATTGGATAATTGTAGGAAAAGAACATTTCTGCTGCTTCTGGTAAGCCTAATGATGTTGGTGTTACCCCCAGTGCTGCCCTCAGTGACTGATGCGAGGAGGAGGAGGATGATGACTGAGAGCAGGCCATCCCCATACACACGATGAGGGGCACTGTGACTGATGAAGACTCTAAGCAGCTCGGAGGGTCGGTGTTCAGTTCCTGGCCACTCAGCAAGGGAAAAGTTCTGCAAAGCTTCATAATGGGGAGAAGTCTAATGAAAAGTCCTCTCAATAAGCTGTGGGAAAGGTAAAGTGACACAAAGGTAGATGGGAAGGAAGTATGGGGAGCCAATGAAGGTCATTGGATTGTAAGCAAAGTGCCTACCTGTGGGCCCGGGTGGTCTCTGGGGGTCATTCCAGGATTTATCTGTAGGCCCAGGTGGTCTCTAGAAATGACTCTCGGGTCTGATCTGGGCTTGAGATGTGGTCTGTTTGGATATACAGTAGATGTGTAGCTGGTTCGGTATCCTCAGTAGGTTGCCACCCGTCCAGTTTTCACCCAAACAGTCCGGTTTTGGAGTCTTGTGTCCGGGTATCAGTGCCGACAGTGGACTTTTCTAACAGATACGTCTGCCACAGTCCCCGGCAAGCGTGATGTCGGGCAGCCGCATCTGCCTGAAGCCGGATCTTCCTCTGAGCTGCGGGTAGCCTGCGCCTGTTTACAGGACCTCGGAAGCCGCATCTATCATTGCCTTCTCCTCCTTCACTTCGTCCTCCGGCTCCCTGACACCGTATAGCCCACCTGAGAGTCGCACAGCTCACCTGAGAGTCACACAGCTCACCTGAGAGTCACACAGCGCCCACCTGAGAGTCGCACAGCTCACCTGAGAGTCGCACAGCCCACCTGAGAGTCGCACAGCCCACCTGAGAGTCGCACAGCTCACCTGAGAGTCGCACAGCCCACCTGAGAGTCGCACAGCTCACCTGAGATTCGCACAGCTCACCTGAGAGACACACAGCCCACCTGAGAGACACACAGCCCACCTGAGAGTCACACAGCCCACCTGAGAGTCGCACAGCCCACCTGAGAGTCACTCAGCCCACCTGAGAGTCGCACAGCCCACCTGAGAGTCACAAAGCCCACATGAGAGTCACACAGCCCACCTGAGAGTCACACAGCCCATCTGAGAGGTGTACAGCCCACCTGAGAATCACACAGCCCACCTGAGAGCCACATAGCCCACATGAGAGCTGCACAGCCTATCTGAGAGCCCGCACAGGCCACTAGGCCACCTGAAGACTTCAGGGCACCAACCCAGAACAGCACAGAGTATGTAGCTTCATATTATTGTGTATTGCTGCAGTCCTCTACAGCCGGTCTCCTTACTCCCTCTCCTGGCTCTCTCCTCTATATTCTCCCCAAAAAACTAAATTGTTGCGCACGGCGCTAGAGTGTTCGGGTTTCACTTGAAGAAAAGGTGGCAACCGTAATCCTCAGTACAATGCAGGCTATTCTGTAACACCAAATCTTGGACATATACTGGCTATGACCTCACCGGAGTGCTATAGCGCATCCTTCTATCTTCAGCCTTAGCAGATATGTTACTATTTAAAAGCATCGTAGATTTCTGGAGATGCCAGACATGGAGCGGCTTGGTGCAGCAATGACTCCGGGTTGTCAGGATTCCATTCATATCATGTGACTTAGGACGCAGAGATAAAACTGAATCCAATACATTTTCCTTTCAGGTATTCGTAGCTCTGTATCCTGTGACGGTGGGGAATGGACACATTCCGATGTCTGCTCAGCAAATCTCATCCAAAGGTAATACTGAGCGTGTCCAGCAGAGGGCGATGTTCAGCCAAAGGATAACTAACTCCAATACAGAGCTGGAAGAGGTTCTGGGCATCTGCGGAATGCCGAACACAAGCACACAGACACAAATATTGTATTGCCGCCAAGCATCATGAAAAGAATACAAGTTTCTCCAAAAGGCCAAACTTTTCTTTTCTCTTTATTTAGAAAAATATTAAAGTTGTCACACGAATATGAATAGAGGGGAACTCTTCCAATGGGAACACTTGTTCTGACAACTGAAAGAGAATTTCTCATCACTTCCTGTTGTATCACCAGGACAAGACGTGAGCAGAGACAGCCAAAAAACAGATATAGGTTCTAAACAATTTTTGGGGGGTTTGGGGTCCGTTGAGGGGAAAATGGGCCTCTGCTAAGGCCAGGAAGATAGGAAAGTGGCTAGAAAAGCCCCGTCATAAAGCTTGCTCAGTCTGGTCTCAGCTTACAGGAACACATTGAAGAATTGCTGTTCTCAGCTTAGAGACACATCCTTGGCCCATGAGAGGAGCTGACGCTATTTGTTTATTTGAGTGGAGGGGATTGTTGTCACTGTTTGGGTATCTTGTAACCCCCTAACCCACTTTCCCTTGGACTATGAACCAAATAAACCTGAAAGCAAAGATTGATGGAGTATATGTTGGTCATTCGGTAACCTCTGGTCAGTCAGGGACTGGTTTGGAGAAGCTGTAGAAAACTTGACCAATAGCAAGGCTACAAGGGCTCCTAAGGGGGTCGTCGCTACACATGAAAACACTTATTGTAGAACTTGACACCTTATGCCTGAAATCCCTTTAGAAAGTAAAGCTCCAGGTCCAGAGTGGCATGTTGGTATCACCCTGACACCTGATTGTCTCCTGGACTCTCTGTATGTCTGAGACTGAATGGTCTCTGGTGTCACTCTGGGATCTTCAGATGTAGGTCCAGCATGTTGTGTTGGTGTCACTCTGCTATCTGATCTAGGATCCTCAGATGTAAGTCCAGAATTGTGCTTGTGTCACATGATATTTTATTTAGGAGTTGTCTCTTGCACCCTCTGTAGGTCTGGCTGGGACTTAGTGGTCTCTGGAGTCACTCTGGAATCTTCAGATGTAGGTCCAGGGTTGTGTTTTGGTGACACTCTGACATCTGATCTAGGAATGATCTCTTGGACTTTCTGTAGGTGAGAGACTGGTGGCCTCTGGAGTCACTCTGGGATCTACAGATATAAGTTCAGAATTGTATTTGTGTCGCTATGATATCGGACCTAGGAGTTGTCTCCTGCACTTTCTGTGGGTCTGGCTGGGACAGAGTGGTCGCTGGAGTCTACAGATGTAGGTCCAGGATTGTGTTTTGGTGTCACCCTGATATCTGATCTAGGAGTTGTCTCCTGGACTGTGTATGTCTGAGACTGGATGATCTCTAGGAGTCACCCTGGCATCTTCAGATGTAGGTTCAGGGTGGTGTGTTGGTGTCACACTGCTATCTGTCGATGAGGGTCTGGTGGCCTCTAGAGTGACTATGGAATTTTCAGATGTAAGTCCAGAATTGTGCTTGTGTCACCATGATATTTGATATAGGAGTTGTCTTCTGAACTCTCTGTAGGTCTGGATGGGACTGGGTGGTCTCTGGAGTCTTCAGTTACCTCCAGAATTATTTATGGGTGACATCCTGACATCTGGTCTTGGAGTTGTCTCCTGGACTTTTTAGATGTGAGAATGGGTGATCTCTAGGAGTCACCCTGGAATTTTCAGATGTAGGTTCAGGGTGGTGTGTTGGTGTCACCCTGACATTTAATCATGGAGTTGTCTCTTGGACTTGGTGTTCTCTGGAGTCACTCTAGAGTCTTCAGATGTAGGTTCTGAGTGGTGTTTTGGTGTTAACCTGACATCTGATCTAAGGGATGTCTCTTGGACTGAGTGGGACTAGGTGGTCTCTGGAGTCACTTTGAAAGAGAGAGAGGAAGTGAGAGAGAGAGACCACCAGAAGATATTTAGTGTAAATTAGTATTAAATGTGTGTTTTTTTGTTTTAATTATGAGCTTCTTAAATTCCCAGATGGAAGAATACATTTTGGTTATCAAACTGTTGATGAATCATGGTTCATTTTTACCAAACTCATTACATCTGGCTGGTTTAACCCTACTACAACAAGCCAACCCCCCCATTGCCCATCCTGTTTGGTTTTCTGCGGACCAAAAAGTGGACAGTGGCTGTCATTTCTGAACCCTGCACCGACACAGCTACAGTACGTGAGGACGTTGCCTTCTTCACCTTGG